CTCTATCACATACGGCAAAACCAGTTCGGGACACGTTGGAAGCACTCAGCTGAGAAATTTTACCCCATGCCACTTACTCATCAAACTTGACACCTTCCGATTATCACTTGTTTGCATCGATGGATCACGCACTTGCTGAGCAGTGCTTTGGTTCGTACGAGAATGTAAAAAAATGGTTCGATGAATGGTTCGCGGCAAAAGGGAAAGATTTTTACTGGCGTGGTATCCACAAATTGCCCGAAAGATGGGAAAAATATGTAACTAGCAATGGAGCATACTTTGAATAAATCTCTTTTTATCATTCTTCCGAATTTAACGTGTTTTTTTTTTTTAGGAAAAAATGGTCATTTCATACTTGTACACCTGGTATATTTAATTTAAATCATTTAAATTGATTTCTTAACGAAATTTATTTGTAAAAGATATATGTTTACGCGAGAATCGGTTGCGCATGCAGAATGCTCGCATATATAGTATTGTTTGTGTTGATTAGTCCGATGCGCAATGTCAACTGTGATCTTTCTACATATCTTTATGTCACAATCAATTTGTGGATCATTGAAATTGCAGTCCCCATACAATAGCAGAGAGATTGTTGGATAGTATACAAGATTGGATGAGTGATCGCTTAGGAAAATAAGGAAATTAATTCTCAGATGAGAGGGAAGCGTTTTTTTTTAATTGTAATTTTATCGTGTGTTTTACTGGAATACGATGTTAATCAATAATACTTATTTTAATAATAAAATTGAATTAATTAATATAAGAAACATTTTTTATGTCTCACAGACATTGCAATTCATTACATTAAACGTTACTACAATGTCTCTTCAAGATTGAATTTACATTTCGCGATATTACTGCAATGTTGCAAATCAACATTTCTGAAATATTGATTCAATGTTAGTGTGCTGTATGGGTGAAATGCACAAGATTTCAAATCAAAACAATATAATCTCATTCACTATGCAAGAGTTATAATACAATATTTTCTTATCTGTAATTAGGCTTGAAGATTTTCATTATAACCTAAAAAAAAATTTCGAATGTTGTCAAGGAAATATTGCTTTTCCAAATATTGCTACTTGTTATCAGTTTCTTCTTCTTCAGTTGTTTCTTATTTTATTATAGACTTCAAAAAAATATTTTTCCAAATATTCTTCCAAATAGGATTTAAATAGGATCAGGAAATAGTAGTGAGGTAGAGCCGGTTCTAACTCAGGTCTTCTGAGGGGAGCGCGAGACGCGGGGGATATTCGTAGAGGAAGGGAAGCGGAGCGCGGGGAATACTCGTAGGCGCGAGGAGTGCCTAAAAAATAATTACAATAAATTATGTAAAATAAATCTTATCTCCTCCTTATCTTCCTCCTCCTCTATCTCCGAGGATGTAAAGAAGTTCCATCTCGTTGTGCAGGTGAAGGAGCTTCATACTCCATGAATGCATCAACGTTGTTGAGCTAATTGACGCTCATGTACGTGATACCTTCTTTATTCCTCGTTCCTCTCATCGATGATGGTGACAAGAGCCTCGTCCTCCTCGCCGATATCCTCTTCCGTGTGGATGTCCTCTTCGATGGGGACGTTCCTCCTCCCCCTCAATCAATTTTATTTTTTTACATGGAGGCTCGTGATTTTCCATGTCTTTTTTTTCTTAGTAACATACATAAATTAATCACGTAAACTGCTAGATAGCAGAATATTTTTGCAGTTTTTATAAATTTAAAAAATCACTCATAATATATTACAATACATTGCTCTTTGTATAAATATCAAGAGACACGACAATAGCTCGGTGCTAAGCCACGCGTAACGATGTTACTGTGACTACTTTTCATCGCGAGTTGGAATTGAGATTATTAGATCTCAATAACGAATCGATCAAATTCTATATATGCCCGATAGCGTCCACTCAAATTGTGTTATAATGATGTTGCATACGCAGACAAGACTCGGCAAATACTGACGCCGAGAAGCATTCTTTGCCATAACAATACTGCTTAAGATACATTTTATATTTCCGCTGCACAGGAAACACTTAAGGAAGAAATGAAACACTTGAGACCATAAATAAATAAACATTTGCAACCTATAGAAGTATAGAACTCTAGACACTACAAAAATGTGTAAATAATAATGGCTCGCATGCTAGAAAAAGATAGAGTGCGACGATAGAGTACAAGTATTCGACATCTTTTTTTTCCTCTTTTTTTTGACATAATTTTCATAATGCGTTGTGATTTTTTTCCTTTTCCTTTTTTACTAGCGTATTGGAGCAAAGGATATAACGGATGGGTAAAACAAAATAAGTATATATAAGTAATGCGAACAAATTTTTTTTTATTTACATATTGTTACACTGATTTTTCGTACGTATTAAAAAACTAAAGTTAATAGCTTGCAACTCAGCAAACGAAAATGGATTAAAATGAGTTGAAATGGATTCAGATTTTCAGAAATATTGATTCACGAATGTTAAAATAAATGCTTTTCAATCCTGAATGTATTTTTATTCATTTATAGGAATTGTATGGAGTATATCTCTATGCCTTTCAATCTAAAAATAATATTAGTTTTTTCTGTGCATTGTGAATATAATTGAATTGAATTGAACATATGCGATGATCTCCCAGAACGATCTCCACGTAATTCGGCGGATTAACATTGATTCCAATTTCCAAAAATTTGTAGCTTGTATTCGTATTGCTTTTTTCAACTTGCTGCCTGCACTTATTATTTGCACTCTTTTAGTGCCGCTCTTGTTTTACAGAGAAAATGGAGAATACTGAAACATCAGGACGAAATAGTTTCTCAAGAGGATAACCAGCTAGAATGTCCGCCGAGAAAACCATGACAGATTCGAGTTCGAACTAAAGAAACTGCCTAAAGCAGGAAGAGCTCCGTGCGAGACAAGAGAAAAGTCTCGGGCGAGAAGAGAGACTACCTGCGTGAAATTTGGATTCCCAAATCGTGGGAAGTTATGTTGCTGCCACGGATCCACGCGATTCGTGGGATCGCGCGGCGCCGCTATCTGCCGATCAGGTGCCGAAAAGTCTCGCTCCCGAAAAGCGCGCGGCCTGTGCACCCCACCGAAGCCCTATCGAAATCACTTGCGTTATGGCACGAACCTGGTGCAGATTGTGAGAGGATCCACTGAGAGCGAATAAAGAACTAACAATAAAGTGAGCCAGCTGAAATATCGCAAGGAGCTGAAAGGATGAGAAAGAGGAATCACTGGTGAGATAAGTGTAGAAATTCTGTAAAACTATCGATGATATCTTGAGCGAATAGCACGTGCCGAATTTGAGCCGAAAGGTTGATGCCCATACAGGAAGCTATCGCGAGTAATTAATCCTTTAGTTCTCGCTTGCCGTTCACTCGAATCACGTAGATTATTGCATTCAGTTCGCGCTTGCCGCCTTCTGGCCACAGCGAAGTCGCCGCGTCTCGTAAGTGTGATTGTATGTTAACTTGCCATTTGGCATTATATGCTACCATTTGAGTCAGAACAGAGAAAAGCATTGTGCGATGTCTGGCGGAAAGCCGCGATTGCTGTAAATGCTGATTGATTGATGAATTTATAATAACTCTCACGACAATCGCCTATTCACGTTCCAGGTATTCTTTTGTGCTGTGTGACTCGATCATGTCCGATCATAACGAACTCATATTCGCACCGAAACGAATTATTGTCACTATGGTAAATTATGTACTTGAGTAGATGTTTGTATGTAATCGTTCTTTTTATCAATATTAAATATATGTCATTGTCCAATATTAAATGTTTGTCCTTTTCTTATTATTAAAAGAAAAATAGTTCTTATTTGTTCTCTCGCGTTCCAATTCATTCTGGCTCTGAATAATCCATCCATTGTCTGTGCGAGGCTAAGTAGTCGATTGTCGTCCGTTGCATTAAAGAAATATTGAAAATAATTAGTCGAGATTTAAAGTAGTAATAAAGAGCGGCATGCTCACTCGTGCCTGATGCCCAACTTCAGTTAGAATTTTCGATAATTCAGTGACTAGCTATCGACTTCGAGTAACAAAGTAAAATTATTGGCTGAATTGTGAGAATAGAAAAGTAACGAAGTTGTGCCGTCGAGATTACGGTCACAAATGACGTTTAATATCAAGGGCCAACGAGAAAAAAATTTGTTAAATAATAACGGAGATGGAAAGGGAGAGAAAGTTTTGCTATATTTCCATTGTGTTACTGTGCTTTGTCGTGTTTTTCTTGGATATATTTCTTGTGTGTTAATTCCTTTCTTTCAGCAGTGTATTGTGCGCGGCGTGATTTTGGGAAGTTTTCGTCATTAAACTTGTCGAAGAAAGGTCTTGAAATTTCTGTGCGTGTGAAATTAGATTTCAGAGGTTTTCACATACTTGAGAGCAGACAATCATGTTGATTACTTTACGTAATTGTCTTGTAATCGCTCTGTTTTGTATCCTTGTCGCGTCATCATGCGTGTTTGCATTCGTGTTGCCAACATGACCTTCATATTGCTAAAGGCTTCTCTGTGTCTTTGTGGTAAATATTCCTCCCCTACTGTTGTTGTTTCTCGCTACCGAACAGCTGGTTTGATTGGTTGCCGACGAGATTATTCAAGGTCTCCGTACAAGTTGTTTCAAATTTAACGTCAAATAGGGCAAGGAGAAAATCCATAGACGTATATATTTCGTTTACTATTTGATTGAAATGGTGATTTCTATGTTTGCCAATGTCACGAATTAACCGACAGTTCGAAGAAACTATCATGATTTTTGTGGATATTTCAGCTGTTAGCGGATGAAAGAAGCTCTCGAACAATGGGGATTGGGTGCCGAGAGGAATACGATCGGTAGAGGAATGCCACGTAATATGACCGATTGCTCCGATATAAGCTGAAGGCGCCCGGAGATCGCAACAGCTGTAATGTTTCACGTGCGGAAGACCTCGCGGCATCGCACTTACATCTATCGATCCCTAAATCGATATGTTTCGATAGCCCTCCGTGTACCGCGGAGGATGGGATGAAAGGCGAGAAAGTTGCGCCTCTTCGCTCCCGAATTGCTGCGAGATGAGAGGAACACGACTGCATACTCGCTCGCATGCGCGAGATATACGATGCGCTTTGTAAATGGAGCATAACATTCTCGGGGAAAATGATGCGGAGCCTTCTTGATGCGAGTGGATGAATGTCGTGCTTTATTTCCGATATCAGATGAGGATCTTCTTAAATGTCTGCCGTTTTTTTCCTGACAAGTACCGCCCTGGTATCACACAGAGGGCGAGGAATGGCGGACGTGGAACAAATTCGTGGCGTGCGCGTTTCGCTGACCTGGACTTTCAGATCGCTTTGCGAGAAGATTTGTCAGCGTAAAGGGAGCAGGAGCTGGTGGCCAACTCCTATCTAACCTGCATGCAAGCTATGTTCGACCGGCTCGATCTTCCATCGTTTGAAAGAACGGTTGAATTAAGCGCATCAAAATTTGTTGCCGCGATTATAGACGATATTATTAGGTGTACAACTTTGCTTTCGCCGTTTTCCTATAGATGGCTTTAGCAATAAGTGGTGGTCGAAATAAATAGATCATAGACGTCATACAATAAACTTGGGCATCTGTCAACATAATCCCATAGAAACATTAATCGATTTGTGTCTGCATCATAAAGTTATTCTCGATTGAAAATGTCAGTTTACGAGCCAAATTCTCGTCATTTGCGGGAGGTTTTAATTTTTTGCTTCAATATGAAGAAATCTGCGGCTGAGGCTCATCGAATGCTCTCAAATACTTATGATGAGGCCAATATTAGTGAAAGAACGTGTCGTGAATGGTTTCATCGCTTCAAGAACGGTGATTTTGACGTCCAAGGTCATGCTCTGTATTTGGTGGGACCAGTTCGGCGTAGTGTATTATGAACTGTTAAAACCGACTGAAACAATCACAGGCGATCGGTATCGAACGCAATTGATGCGTTTGAGCCGAGCATTGAAAGACAAACGGCCGCAATACAACGAGAGACACGATAAAGCGATTTTGCAGCATGACAATGCTCGACCCCATGTTGCGAAAGTGTCTAGACATACTTGGAAACGTTGAAATAGGAAATCCTACCCCACCCGCCGTATTCTCCAAACGTTGCTCCCTCTGACTATCACTTGTTTCGATTAATAGCACACGGCCTGGCTGACCAGCACTTCCGGTCTTATGAAGAAATAAAAAATTCATGGATAGCCTCAAAAAATGACCAGTTTTTTCGACGCGGGATTCGTACGCTACCCGAAAGATGGGAGAAAGTAGTGGCCAGCGATGGACAATACTTTGAATCATAAATGTATAATCAGTTTTTTACAATAAAGCCTCGAATTTCGGAAAAAAACGGCGGAAGCAAAGTTGTACACCTAATACACCGAGAACAGTTTCAAGATTTTGCGACTCGATACTGTGTGTCCCACCGATTCCTAAGCTAGTCTTGCTTCCTGATCTGGCGTACCATCCCCTGAAAAAGAATTCGCGTGGTTCGACGACGGCCGAAGTTGCCCTATCGAGTTCTGGGGCGAAGAAAGGAAATTTTTTGCGCGATCGGAATGATGCCGTGGGAGCAGAATCATCCGCTGCGGACTCCGGACGATCGAGCGACAGCTGCCGTTTTCTTAACCCGTTCCGCGAACACAATAAGATGCTGGAATTGTGGAAAGGCCGGCTATTTTGCACGCGGATGTATGAAGAGACGCCGCGTATATTGCTTCCGCTGCGGCAAGCAAAAGATCACGCTTACAATATGCCCCTGACCGACGTATTCGAGAAATGCATAGTGAGTCGCTCGCGCGGATCTCTGTGACTTCCGCCTATTCGGTTGCGACCCGCCTGTTTTAACGTAGAATACTTAAAGATGACAGACCTTTCGCGTATCCAACTCCTCTTCGTTGTGATATTTTTGTATCTTCGTTTAAAATCAATCGTTCAAAACTAGTCGATTTCGGGTCGAGTCGAACTAACGTATTTTTGATGATAAAGGAATTGAGATCTGAAGCTACCGATTACTTTCGCGCAGGATGTTCGAATATGCACCGCGAACGGGCAAATAGCAGAAATTACCGAGGAAGTAGAGCTGCCCCTGATACTGGAAGATCTACAAAAAGAAATTAACATGTGTTTGGGTCGAATTTCGTGTATTGTAGGGATAAATTTTTTATGTGCGTTCGGAATCAGTTTCGATTTTGCTTCTTCGATGAGGTATTTCGCGAGTCGATCCTGGGAATCCTTCGAAGAACTTGAGGATCGCGTGGGAGGGGGGAGGTACGCTTGCTGTGGACTCTCCGAGCAGAAATTACGCTTAAAAAAATTTCTAGCTAATAAAATTCCGAAGACTGTCACAGATAGCCGATGTCCTCTCTTATTGAGCATAAAATCGCCGTCGGTTTACATCCGCTGATTAAGCAACGTTGTTATTTAGTTTTTCCAAAAATGCAAGAAGCCATCCGCGAAGAAATAGACAAAATTTTAGCTGTCGAAATAATTGAACCCTCGTTTAGTGAATGGTCGAATCCGATTGTAATGATGAAAAAGTCGAAGCAAGTACCGTTTTTACCTAGGACTTTCGTAAAGTGAATAGTGTATCTAAAAAGGACGCATACCCGTTGAATGCGCATACCCCCAAATGAATGTATAAATTGGATAAATTGCAACCTGCTCGGTATATCTCAATATTCGATTTGAGTCAGGCGTACTTTCAAATACCTCTGGCTGAAAAAAGTCAAGAGATTACTGCTTTTAATGTGGGTAAAGGCCTATATCACTTTATGAGAATGCCATACGAGCTAACGGGAGCGATCTTTCAATGCTTGTTGGATCCATATTAATTGGTCCAGAGATGGAACCGCGTTCGCGTATTTAGACGATATAGTAATTATAAAGCCAACTTTTGAAAAACATCTAGAGCGGCTCGAGCGCGTTTTAAATAAAATTATGTGAGCGGATCTTATCAATCCCGACATGTGCGAATTCTGTCGTTCGCAGGTGCGGTATCTGGGTTTCGTTGTGTGCGGCCTAACAGTCGACCCCGAGAAGGCGCAGCCAATATTTGAGTATCCAGCATCGCGTAACCTTAAACAATTTCGTCGATTTCTTGGCATTCATTCTAATACCATCATACATCTAATGATTTGATTTATTCCGTAATTTACAACGACTAGCAAGCCATTCATGAGACTATTGAAAAAGAATCAGCGTGGGGTGACGAACAATATCAGGCTTTCAAAGAGATTCGCGCGCGCTTAGCCTTGACTCTGACCTTATCGTGCCCGGATTTTAATCCATTCGTATTACAGACCAGTTCGAACTCGGCGCTGTTTTGGTACAAAATATCAATGATGAAAATATTATCGCGAATTGCGCATTGTCAGATGCTAAGAAGATATACTCCGTCACAGAACAATACTATTTGGCTGTCGTGTGAGCGATACAAAAATTCCGATCTCTGGAGGATTATCGGTTCACTATGCTGGATCATAGTAGTTGCATTGGCTTCACAATTTGAGAAATTCTACCGGTAGATTGGCAAGATGGGCCTTCGAGCTTTCAGAATACGACTATGAAATCTTGCGAAAAGGGTCTTGCAACACGCCAGCTGCGATTATCGCGGATGTTTGAGGGTTTGAGGGACGCCGAGATTCAATTAGAAATTGTCGACGCGTTTTTAGTTGCTGGGGAGAAGGCAATTTTTGAAGACACAGAGGACCCGTGATATCGCCTTCGCAAGGTTTCCGAGAGACCTAATGCGTTCTCCGGAAAATAGTGGACAGTCAGTTATACCATTTAAAACCTTGCGCCGTGACGTCTGCGGTCGTAGATGATCTAGATTATTAGAAACTAGTATTACCGTGTGAATTGAGAGGGGAGGCCTTCTCAACGAGAAACGCATGACGCATCAGAACATTTATTGAGAAGAACACTATCGCTTGATGATCGCGTATTACTAGTCTAACATGTTTCAAAATGTCACGGATGTTATATAAGGCAATGCAATACGTATCAACGTACAAAAATAGAGCAGACGAGACTAATGGGAGTCATCAAGTTATTGAAACTCCGTGGATTGTGATTGCCGTGGACGTGATGAGACCGTTGTCACGAAATAAAGCGGAATTCGCGTACATTTTGATAATCCAAGATTATTATTATTCGCTAAATGGGTGCCGTACATTACAAGTGAATGGGAAAAGTATTAAAGAAGCACTCAAAGATTTAATTCTCTCGCGGTGAGGCATGCGATTTCTTCTAACTGATAATAGCATGGAATTCATGAATAAAACTTTACAAACTTTCGCAGGAAACCGATATTGTGCATACTACAGTGTCATCATACCACCAGTAGAGAGAGTCAAACTCCAGTAGAGAGAGTCAATAGAATACTGAAAACCATAATAATTTTTTTTTTTTGGATCGTGATTACCGCGAGGGATGCGCACTTAAATAACTTTCGCTTCGATTACAATATCGCCTACCATTTGTTCATCAGCACGTCTCCCGCATTTTAAATTTTGGGTCGCGAACTGGAATCATTCGTTGCGACGCCGTTGCGATTCTGCTACCGAATCTGTGACGCGCAAGAGTCGGACCGCATGGAAGCGTTACAATCTTTGCATAATTGAATTATCGAGAATTTAGAGCAGGTGTATCAGAAGCAGGCTATTTATTATAATTTGCGAAGACGCGATCGAAGTTTCGAGATTGGAGACTTAGTGCTGCGACGGCAACATAAATTATCGTCAATGGCTCAAAATATTATCGCGAAACCGAGATTTCAGAGACCTTTCAAAATAAGTCGCGTTTTATATTAGTCGTATATGAGCTCGCTAATCTTGATGACACGCCCGTAGGTAAAGTTCACGTTAAGGAAAACTCTACTATTCGTCTTGAATGCCTAATCGACTCCATCTTGATTCAGAACTTTGACTGAACCCGAAAGAGAACCGACACCCAGGAGCTGCCGTAAAGACTTGAAGATACTAAAAGATAGGGGGACGACCGAAAATGGTGACGGTCCGCTTAAAGACCTTCGAGGAGCGCCACCACCTCCTATTTCAAAAGATAGACGAAGACCATCTTGGATTTTGGAATTGAAGGATATTGAGAGAAGGATTGAAGAAATCTTCCAGACTGCCTGCTATACGACACGAGGGGCAGTGGTGAAGAAATGACCCTCATCCAAGGACGCGGCCACACAATGGGTAATCGAATTATCAATATGTTGAAACGTAACATAATTTATAAAAGAAGAATCTTATCATAAAAACGTGTAATCTGCGTACTTAAAAGACATTTAATATTAGTGTGATAAAAGTGAATGGAGTGATGGAAGTGAATTATAATAAACAGTTGTGACGAGCATTATTATTATTTGCATCCAAACTTATTCCTTCAACTGTTTCAAGCTAGAACAAAATATAATCATTGAACATCTATAAGGTATAATAACAATTTCATAATTAAGATAATAATAAGCCTTTAAAATATATTTGGTTTACGTTTCTATTTTAAACATTCTCTTTTAAACACTCTTTGAATGCTAAAAAACACGATCGCATTTCTCATAAAACTTCTCATAACTATGTAATAAATACTATAAGTATAATAGCGCAGATAACATTAAAGAAATTTTTGTAAAATTGAGAAATTAGACAATATTGCGTACCACAGTATTATAAAGTATTATGCCTATTGACATACAATTAAGTTTCACAAGTATTTCAGTACGTCAAATTGTAAGAAATGCTCGTATAATTCGAAAACGTACTGAAATAATTGTTTGATTTCTATGTCAATAATAGTTTTATAATGTTTATCGCATTAATTATTGAATAGAAATATCTAATTTCACTCTTTTACGATATTTTTCTAACAATTTTATCAATGTTATTAAAATGCAATCCGATACTCAAAGGATTTAATATTTATTTTAATTTCATCATTCTATTTTATTATTTTATTACTATTTTATTTTAATTTAATAAAATTAGTATATTTAAAGTATGAAAAATAAAGAGATGATGATAGAGGGGAAAAATAAGAAGGAACGTATTTTTATAAACGTGTGAATGCGTCCGGTCGGTGTACGCCTCGTGCGTAAAGAGTTCACGTCTAACCGTGAGCGCTGTCTAACCGCTCCTGCCCGTCTTCTATATGCGACCTATAATACGCTTACTATTTCTTCTTGTAATTTGAAAAGCAAAACTAAGCTTCGGACAACATTTTTGTAAATCGTCTTAGAATTCGGTCAGAAATACGTCTTTTCTAGGGACATTTGGATTGTTCTGAATCACTCTATATAATGAATATCCGCATTTATGAGGAATTACGATTTCAAAAATACATATTCAGCCTACTAAAAACGGATACAAATGCACGCATATACGAGCATATTCATATTTAACATTTATCCGCATCTATGAACACGAATATAAAATATATCCGCATTTATGAGGAATTACGATTTCAAAAGTACATATTCAGTCTACTAAAAACGAATACATTTTTTTAATATAAATCTGTTAGGAATTTTCATCAGAGTAAACTTTATTCTAATGAAAATTCTTAATAGATCTTTAGATGTAAAAATAGTTAAAAAAGTTGATAGAATATAAAGTCTGTTTTGGGTAAGATATTTTAGGATTTTGTGACGTTTTCTTTTTACGAGTAACATGTTTCTTTCTTGATAGCGCCACGTACTACGCACAGCGGATTTCTGTAAGTTGTAATTGTATATAATGTAGATATATTAACGTATTAGCATCTATAAGCTTTTGCATAAGAAAAACTTACCTGCTTTGGTCTGCAACTTATATGCATCAGATGGAGACTATATATCTGTCCGTAATTGCAAATGCAATATTTATTTGCACTTATACGCAATGTTGATCTATAGGACTCTGTTTTGCAATTACGGATTCCTCTCTGTTTCTGTTTGTGTACACATCGATGCTATTCATCTGCACCTGTATGCAATGTTGACAATTGTTAATAGATGCAAATGAATCCGATATTCGTAATTACAGATAGATATCTGAGGCATATACAATCCAGATAGAAACAGACAGGAATCATAATCGTAATTGCAAACAAATTCCTATAGATTAACATTGACACACAGATGCAGTACGATATCTGTATTTGTAAATAGATATCAGCATCCGATGCATACAGATTGCATCCGATACACATAGATAGAAACAGGCAAGTTTTTCTACTGCAAAAATTGATAGATGCTTATACGCTGACAGATCTCCATTAAATACAATTACATTTTTTGTCTGCA